CATCCCGATCCCATCCCCGGGCCCGGCCCCGCTGTCCCCATCCCGATCCCATTCCCGGAATCTCCATCCCACCTCTGACATCCCAAATCCCATCCTAAACCCCATCTCCATCCCAAATTCCCCATCTCCATCCCACCTCCGACATCCCGATCCCGATCGCAGCTCCTCCATCCCAAATCCCCAAATCCCCATCCCAAATCCCCCATCCCAAAATTCCCATTCCAAATTCTCCATCCCCATCCCAAACCCCCAAACCCCCAAACCCCCATCCCAAAATTCCCATTCCAAATTCTCCATCCCCATCCCAAACCCCCATCCCCATCCCAAACCCAAATCCCCATCCCAAACCCAAATCCCCATCCCAAATCCCCCATACCAAAACTCCCATTCCAAATCCTCCATCCCCATCCCAAACCCAAATCCTCCATCTCCATCCCAAATTCCCCATCCCAAACCCTCCATCCCCATCCCAAAAGCCCCATTCCAAATCCCCCATCCCAAATCCACATCCGAAACCCCATCTCAGTCCCAAACCCCCCACCCCAAACCCCCCACCCCAAATTCCCCACCCCAAATTCCCAAACCCAAATTTCCCATCCCAAACCCCCCACCCCAAATTCCCAAACCCAAATTTCCCATCCCAAACCCCCATCCCAAATTCCCAAATTCCCCATCCCAAACCCCCATCCCAAATTCCCAAATTCCCAAACCCAAATTCCCCACCCCAAACCCCCATCCCAAATTCCCAAATTCCCAAATTCCCCGTCCAAACTCCCCATCCCCATCCCGATCCCATTCCCCCTCCAGCGCATCCCCCTGCCCCATTTCATCCCAGCACCCCCCCACTGCGTCCCACTGCACCCCCCATTGCCCCCAGGTGTGCCCAGGTGCGCCCAGGTGTGCCCAGGTGCGCCCAGGTGTGCCCAGCAGTGCCCAGGTGCGCCCAGGTGTGCCCAGGTGCGCCCAGGTGTGCCCAGGTGCGCCCAGGTGTGCCCAGGTGTGCCCAGGTGCGCCCAGGTGTGCCCAGGTGCGCCCAGGTGTGCCCAGCAGTGCCCAGGTGTGCCCAGGTGTGCCCAGGTGCGCCCAGGTGTGCCCGGCTGTGCCCAGGTGTGCCCAGGTGTGCCCAGAATGTGGGGCCCACCTGCAGAATGGTTTAGGACCCCCGGGCTGGGGTCAGGACCCCCCAAAATGGGTCAGGACTGGAGCAGTTCTGGGTACTGGCCCCATATCCCCTCACCCAGGTGCGCCCAGGTGCGCCCAGGTGAGCTCAGGTGCGCCCAGGTGCGCCCAGGTGTGCCCAGGATGATGTGGGAGGTGCTGCCCACCATCAGCCAGGACCCCCAGGATAGATCAGGACCCCCAGAGTGGGTCAGTCCCAGATCCAGCACTGACATCTCCCCCACTCCCTGTCCCCCCAGGTGTCTCCAGGTATCTCCAGGTGTCTCCAGGTGCCTCCAGGTGCGCCCAGGTGTGCCTGGGATGATGTGCGAGGTGCTGCCCACCATCAGCCAGGACCCCCAGAGTGGTTCAGGACCCCCGGAGTGGTTCAGTCCCAGATCCAGCACTGACATCTCCCTTACTGTGTCTCCTCCCAGGTGTCTCCAGGTGTCTCCAGGTGTCCCCAGGTGCGCCCAGGTGCACCCAGGTGTGCCCAGGTGTGCCCAGGATGATGTGGGAGGTGCTGCCCACCATCAGCCAGGACCCCCAGAGTGGTTCAGGACCCCCAGAGTGGTTCAGTCCCAGATCCAGCACTGACATCTCCCTTACTGTGTCTCCTCCCAGGTGTCTCCAGGTGTCTCCAGGTGCGCCC